TGAAAAGTAAGATTTTCGTCCCCGTAAACCCCCGGAAAATCAGGCAGATCTGCGGGAGTTTACGGGGGTTTACGGGGACGAAAATCTTACTTTTCATGCAGTGAGTCTGCTCCGCTACTTCTCTAGACCAGCATAAGTCTGCCTGTCCACCCTACAGCAAGTTATCACCAATTGTGAACAAGCCCCCCACAAACAGGAACCAAGGAGCAACCGCAAACCACAACAGTGAGTTCTTATGAGGCTGCTAAGTGAAAGATAACAGATAAGAAAAGGCATTATTATATAATAGATTCTAAGAACCATAAGACCATGATATTGTTCAGTAAATCACACAATTAAACTTTGAAGGAATCATCTTCTTCTATACTGACTATTTTTGTTCCTAGTGCTAAGCCCATATTCTATTAGTACTTACAGAACTTTGTTTGAAGCTTTGACCACTGGCAGCAGTGGGAGAAGAGCCTCCTCTGAAGCAGAGTATTTCTTCAGGTAATCCAGCAGCTTCTCCCCTGAATCTTGGAGGTTGTTGTTCTCCAGGTCCACCTCTTTCAGACAGCAGGACTCAGAGCTAAGAACTGATAACAGAACTTCAAAAGTTCTCTCTGAGAGGTTACAGGATCTAAGTCTGAGAAACAAATCAAAGAATAAAAAACTGATGTTATTTGGACAAAAAAACCCTTTCTCCATCGACAAACAGTCAAATTTAAACTCTGTATTGGGTCAGTAATTACTGTATGTTCCACTGAACCCTGTAAGAACTTTTACTTTCAGAATTTACCTTTCATACCCAGCACTGATTACTGTTATAATAAAGGTGATTAGGCACTAAAAATGTATGAAGCAAACTTTGGCATGTGTGTTAGGATTCCAGTTTGTGTGGGTTGTTTTTTTGTGTTTTTCCTCTCTCGGCCACCATGCAGTGCCCTGTCCTCGTTGGGCCTCCCTGCGGCTTGTTGGGTCATTACCAGAGGAGTACTTGAGCAGTGGGCTTTTACCACCTTGGACGCCAGAGTGTTTGCCAGTATTGGGAAGACCTCATGTGTTACTGAATAAGCCTGGACCTTCTAACCCTGGAAAGATTTACTGAGGATTTACTGAGTCTCACTGAGCAAGGGGAAAACCTCCACATGATGCATTCTGGGTTTAACATATGTCTGCCTGTCCGCTCTCCAACGATTTTCCTCTTCTCTGGATTAAAGCCCCACAAACTGCCTCCAAGGATAAACCAAGAGCCCCCCAGCATCGAGTGCCTCTCCAGCAATATTCAAGTTCCTGTCTATTTTCCCACTGTCCGGGAACTGATCACTGTGATTTCCCCTTCAAAGTTTCCGGTTCCGTTTCACTAGTCCACTGAGTTCCAGCATTGTTTCGCCACTAAGATTCAATCTCCATCAGTATTTGCTAACCTACAATAAACCTGTTAAACCTTTACCCTTTGTTTCTGAGTGGTTCCCTGCATGTGGGGTCAGATCTTTAAAGCCCATTATGACAATGTGTAAAATTGAATGTTGTATGAAAGTGTGATAAGCTACGAAGATATTTTGTTTTTAAAGAGTTTTTAAAGATGCTAGGATTTTTAAAACTCCAAAATTCAACTAAATAAACAAGAAAAAACTTGATGAAGTTATATTTAACTCAATCAGAATCGAACCAGATGCTTTTTCATGTGTTTTGCCCTTTAAGAGTTGTATCCTATTGATTAAACTGAATCACCATTAGCCTGAAACAGAAATAAAATAAAAGTTCAATGGGATGTAAACTTTAAATATTCCTCTGTTTTGGTCTGTAAATGCACATTAGTTTTGGGCAAAGGAGAAAATTGCATGCATTTTCTCGAAGGAATGCTTTTTAAGAAAGAAATGCTGCTGGATCAGCAGAGCAGTTCTAAACAAGCCAGGTGTGAAGATTCATAATGCAGACAAGCTGTAGACAATCATAAATGTCCATAATGGGTAAAGATTTCATAATAAGGGAAGAATAACGGCCTTGGCTCTGCTGGAGGACATAACCAATGGAAGAATGAGGACAGAGGCTATCCTTTTAGATGCCTGTGCAAATTCTCAGTCATCTGGGTCAGCGTTACGACAAAACTGGCTTCAATTTTAGGCTACTGGACTTTTGCTCAGTTCTTCTGAAATATTTCAACACCTATCCAGGAGTCTTTGTCTTTTCTGTTGGCTCATTCTAGAAGAACCTGTAGTTGGAGCTCCGGTATTTTTAAGTACTTAGAGGTCCCTTTATCTAAGCCCATTCCAAGTCAAGTGCAAAACAACAATGTAACATCATTGTGCTGTGTTGTTGGGATCCATTGTTTGGTCTAGGTTTTGTGTTTGGACATAATGAAGTCATGACATTGTGGGCTTCTGAAAGGTTAACTCTAAAGTTCAGACTTTGATAGAAAAACATCTGTGGATGTCTTTTATGAGCTCTCAAAGAGATTGCTTTCCTATTTGACATAAGATTTCATGTTATGGAAAGTGTTTAGTCTAAATACATCTTACCGCTATACATTTGGATCTCAGCAGATTTTTTTTGAATTGACAATGTTTTAGGTGAGGAATTCAGTTAAATGCACGGCTAAATTACTCATTTCTATTAAAAGATACAAATATCAATATCAAGTTCAGGTTCCGTCCACCTTTCCCTTCATCTAAATGTGAGCTAGCAGAGTTTAGTAATAGGTTGGAGTCAGATACATTTCGGTGTAACCATTAAAAGTTCAGTAAATAATGCTCCATTGCTCACTAAGTTCATAAAATAAGCATTCAGCATAAATTTTGTTATAAAACAAGGCTTCAAATGTGTCCCTATTCATGTTGTCATTGTCAGTGATGGGCAGTAGCGCCGCTACATGTAGCGAAGCTATTAGTTTAACTACATTTTCCAGTAGCTTGACCGTAGCATCACTGCTTTATTTATCAAGTAACTTTCCAGCAGTGACATTATTGTTTTAATCAAGTAGCGACGTAGCGTCCACAAACGCTACAAAATCCAGGGCAAAACTAAGTAATGAAACCAGTTTTTCTATTTTTGAAACAACAATCGGAGTTATTTGCTGGACATTCATGCATGAGCCTCTATTCTGCCTCTCCTGGCTGTGTCTACAAAACATCCGCATGCGCACTGCAGTGGAACTCAAAGAATGACACCCACAGACACACGCAGACACACAGAGCCACACACACAGGATGGCGGAGGAGACAGGAGCAGAGAGAGAAGAGCAGCCAACTGTCCCTACCACACTGTGGCCTTATCTTCAGAGACTATGAAACTTGTTGAATCCTCTGATAAAAAGTACCTGTTCAAATGTTTTAAGGCGTATTTGCACGGATAAGATTTTTTAGGTATGGAGGAACAGCTCTCCCATGTATAAAAATAAATACATAAATAAATACATGCTCAATAAATAAATAAGCATTCAATTAATTACCCCCAAAATACAATGAATAAATATTTACGTAGAAATTAAATTATACAGTGAGACATAAATGTATATATATCTCTTAATTAGCTTCTTTATTTTTTCACCTTTTTTGAAAACAGTTTCATTTGTTACTTGAATCAACTGTTTAATTGAGGTCTGAAGAAGTTTTCTCTAAGGGAGACCCTAAAGAAATAACATGCCTTTTGTAGGGTTTAGTTTTCCCTAGAGATGTCCATTGAATGCAAACTCATAGCCATGTCTCCATGTGTAGAACACTACACAGTACCTTTAATTTGGTTCTAATAACAGCAGATTGTTTATTTTTTTGTCTACTAGTAATTACTTTATTTTTTTTTTATTATGCTGATCATAAAGCAATTTTGACACTGTGTTATGTCATTGGCTGATCTTTAATAAATATTTTAACCATTGTATCAGACTCATTTTGAATTGATATTCGGTTGATACAACGTTAAGTAGCTTCTGATGTAGTTAAGCTACTTTTAACACATTAGTGTAACTTAGCTTGCTATAATTCTTTAGGTGGTAGCTTTTGTGTAGTGAAGCTTAATTTATTGTTGGGTAACTGATAGCTTAGCTCACTACACTGGACAAGTAGCTTGCCCAACACAGGTCATTGTTGTCATTAAAATCCCATATCAAAGAGGTTTCTAGAAATTCCTTCTTTCATCTGTGGAATATTGCAAAAATTAGACGTATCCTGTCCAGGGGTGATGCTGAGAAACCTGTCCAAGCAGGGGTGGACTGGGACAAAAAAATCGGCCCTGGCATTTTGGACTAGACTGGCCCACCACATTTTTTTTTTGGTGTACTGAATGTGTACACTTAACACTTGACACCTAAAATACTTCCAAAATCTTAATTTATTAAAACTGTAAAATGTAAACTCCACCACAGCAATTCTTAGATCAGAGAGAGAGAGAGAGACAGAGAGACAGAGAGCGAGAGACCTTTGACGTTGTTTTTTTACTTTACATCAGGAAAACATAGTCTGTTTCCATCATCACAATAAAAAAACAACCATTACCACACAAAAAAACACACACACGTTAAATATTAAGAACCAGTGAGCCATCTTCCTCTACTGAACATAAAACATGTCTAGTCCCCCACAGAGCACTGAAAGCCTCCAGAT